GGGGGGGTGTATCTGGTTGCTGGAGGGGATAGTATTCGGCAATCAGAATGCTTTTCGATCATGTTTCCCCCATTTCAGCGCCATGAGAAAATTTTTTGTTTTTTTGTTTTCAATGTCTTGAGGAGATATTTACCAGCTAATTTTTTTCTGTTTTAGGCGCAGACTCCACTGGGATATTTGTGGATTGGAAGAAGGTATCGGGACCACCTGAGGGGAAGGTTTTCACATCACCACGATGGGCCTAGGTTGTACAGACTATCACTGTGATTCCAAATATGGGAGACGGGCAAGAGAATCATGAATTGTCGCTTCGCCGCGCGGCAATTGGCGCGGCCTTTCTAGAATTTGCACTACCCTTTCGATTGGAGCATCGGATTTCATGTAGACAAGGACATGGTAGACACTTATGTCTATTTTTGGTCATACATTGTCTATTCTCGACCAATACCACCTAAAATCGTCGTCATTAGCAGGCGCGACGTCGCACGCGACGCCCACTGACGCGGCGAATTACGATTCTCTTGCCACATACCCTTCAAATATATACACCGACCAGCTGATCTTTACTTCTTAGTTACGGACTTTCGCAACAAATATTGTCTATTGATTTCTATCTTTAACTGTCGTCTATAAATAAATTCGAATTATTTTCCTCAGCAGTGGTCTACGCGCCCATCAACAACCCTAAAACCTGTTCACTGTCACATGTAAATTGAGGTGAACATTCGAAAACAGCTTAATGACATCGAAGGAAAGGCAACAGTGATACCAAGAAAACAAATAGAAATGGTAAAACCGGTTGAAAAAAAATTTGCTGCACGATAATAACATTAAGAAGACAGACTTAAAGACACACTCCGCTGTTGAAAGTCATTGGAAGTGGGGTCCAAGGAGGAATTGAAGAGTGATAGGTGACTTGGCGGTAAAAGATTAACCAGAGCGTTTTTTGAACCCATCAAAGGTTTTCTTAAAACTGACTTAACCACTCAGTGACAAATGGGGTTATAATTTGCGAAGTTGGAATGATGAATCATCACATCCTGCTAGTGGTTCGTTTGTTTTCTTCAAAAAATACTCTGAGCCATTTCATAAGTACGGAAAGAATCGCCGAGATAGGTACGATTACTGGAGAGCCGGGAAACCTGCCTGTTAGATCTGCTACATGCGTCAATGATGATGAGAACAAAAAAGCAAGTGAGACGATGACACCAAGTAGCGTTCTATCTCTGCCGTCGTCCCCCTCGGTCCCTTCAGGCCCCTGCCACTCATTTTTGAAGCCACAAAGCGTACCAGACAGTCTTGTTCGCTGCGAATACTAGAAGGCGTATAAGGTTCGGTTTGGCCGGTGCCAACCCGTTTTCTACGAACTGCTGTCGCTTGCTTGTTTCAACAATTGGTGGAGGACGCACGGCGCCGTGCTCCGCCCCCTGACACGCCCATCATCCGCAGCGAGCAAGACTGTAAAACCTCTGCGACTGGGGTACTTCGGAGAAGGGAGGGACTTTACCTGTAAGGTGTATGTTTTTAAACGAAATAAGTAAAAAATACAAGTGTAGGGATGCTTACCTGCAAGGAGTCCACCACCAGAACTAATGGCTCTATTGAACAAGTGCGACTCATTGGGAGAGATCTGAACATGTGGGACGATGATCACGTTGTCTGAGGAGCAGCAACCTTCATGTGAGCTGAAAAAGGGATTCAAGATGCGGGAGGTGTTCAGAGAGGACTACACAGGCAACATAATCTCCTAAACGAAGCATTCTAAGGAACTACTACAACTACGCAACACAGTGACCTACACATACCTTTCCTCGTGTTGATGGGGCTGTAATAAGATCATTTTAGCAAAAACACTTGACAATAAAAATTAGAAGTATAAAGTAAAGGAAAAAGAATGAAAGGAATTGAGAAATTCATCAACAGGTCACTCACTTGTTCTGGAACTATTGCATACCGCCTGCTCAGCTGCTCTTTGTTCGGATGGATGGTTTGCGGTTCGCCATCTTCGGGCTGAAAAATGAAAATTTTGTTTTGATGACATTTTCATAAACAACTGAGCAAATCTTCAACTGAACAATTGATTGATTTTTTCCCGCCGCATGGCAGCAGAAAAAGGGCCATTTACCACTGTTTAGGGGCATGTATCAGTTGTACCAGCTGCGTGCCGCGCGCGACGAAATTGCGCGCGAATCAATTTGAACGACCACCTTGTCGCTGCTCTGCACCCTCATTCAGACGCGTGCTATCTATTCGTGTCTGGATTCGGCACCTATTGAACAATTTGTTGTAATTTCGGGTGTATGAAAAGTGAGGCGATCACAACGCCATTGACGTGTTTTGACATGTCATTGAGTGCATCGTCTACGTAGGACAACTCGTCCGAAGAGTTGGAAGTCTTGAATTGACCCCAGGGAGGCACCCAGGCTAATAGCGGGAGCAAGCTAGCAGTTCATGAATCCGAACGAGCTGTCTAACTTGGAAAACGCGCCGCGTGACCAGCCATAACATTTCAGCGGCAATGTGATCGCGCCATGCGACAGCTTGCCACATGTCATTGTCGCGTGCGGCGTTCAGTGGGTCCAACTGATACATGCTCGCAGTTCTGTATTAGAAGTGCTCTAAGCTAATGGCCTCACTAGTGAGGGCCTTAGAAAGCCGAAAACTCGTGTTAAACAACCGTGTGATGTCGTTCTTAGCTCACAGTAACAGAAAATGGACCAATTGCTACTGCTAAGGGACGTGTATCAGTTGTACTCGCCAAGCGTCGCACGCGGCGAAATTGCGCGACACCATAACTCCTTGAAAAATTCCACGGCAGCAGTCTTGTATCGTGGCCAAATTGTCGGCGGTAGCCAGGAGATCCAAATTGTGACGGCTGGGGAAACTAGCCCGGCAAATTGTATTTTCTTGCTAGTTGCCTCGGCATACTCTAGCACTATCGCGTCAAATCAATTGGATCCTGGTGCGAATGCCGCGCACGCGACACCGCTTTCGCAACTCTGATCTCCTGGCTCGCATCCTGGTTGAAGACGTCATTTTAGCTTCGAGAATTTGTCGCTTTGGCGTGCTTGACACGCAGCGGGTTCAACTG